TGTCCATCCATCTGTACACATACATACATATGAGTGGCAACTTTTACTGAAAAATTAGTCCAACATCTGCCCACACCTGAAGCAAACAGGCAAAGTATTTATGCACATTCTGTTGAGTATATTCTAAGATAAACTTTATTTCTGATCCTTCAGAAATTCGGAGCGTAGCAATGAGAATCGAGATGTAAACACTTGCTTGATTGATTAATAATTATTATTGTCGGACAAATTTAGAATTTCATAATAATGATTAAAATGTGGTATATTCTTCGGACATACAGATTGGGGCTTCTGAAATAAAACTTTCGCACGAAAGACCGATAGAAGTGTGACAGTGCGTATACTCAACCAAAATGTGTTTGTAAATTATTAGTTAAAGAAAAGTATAAAGGTTCAAATCATTTTAATTTACCACTAAACTTTGGTTAATTTTTTCAATATTTCATTAGTAAAGCAACACTTACAATTTCAAAATTACGCACACCTTAATGTACTCGCAAGTGAAGTGGTGACAGCCATTCTTTACTGCGGCTGCTGAGGAACCTGTCTGCCCATCAACGCTTGAAATGAAATTTACCTGAAAAGCGTTTAAAAACTATTCCATAAACACACACACACACACACACACACAGTTATACGTGATGGCTGATGTACATCTGTGCCATAAATCAATTTGCTACTAAGTTGGTTAGTTTATGTTTGCGAGCATGTGTAAATTTATGCTGCACAAGCAACTTGGGTAACACGCGCTGCACAAGTGGCTGCCGCAAATTAAATGGAAATGAAGTGGGTCAGACATTTCGTCGGTTGAAAAGGCAGTCGAGCTTTTTAAAAGCAACAACCCACGCAGCTGCCGTCCATATGCACAGACACACACTCTACATGTACACATACGTATGTGTGTGTAAGCCTAGTGAAATGGCAAATTGAATGAGCGACCAAGGTGCTCGCCGAAATGTTTGCAAAATGAAAAGTGGAGCGCCGAGAATTAGTTTTGCCTCGTTGTCAGGCAGTCAGTCAGTTAGTGAGTTAAGTATGCAAGTTTGAAGCATGCCACATGTGGTAGCCTGTAAAATGGACGCGCCGCGCCATGTCGTTCACCGGTAAGTCAGTTAGTCAGTCATTTTAGCCACTTGCCGCTCAGTTTTGCAACACGAAGCATTACATTTGTTAAAATTTGAACGCAACTTGCCACGGAAGCAACAAAGCACATGCAACCATAAAGAGTATTTTGGCGTACGCGAAGCTGTTAAAAATGCACATAAATATTTAATGCATTAGCAAATAATTTAATTGTATTAATCCTTTTTAAAATAATAGCCAAGTTTTTCGACGCAACAGCAGAAGCGATTTCCGGCCGAGCTCTTCCAACAAATGGCGGGACCCAGAGTTTATACCAAGCCGCCTCCGAACGGTTGACGATTTTCTATAAGGGGCTTTTATTTCATGCCAGAAATACACTCGGAGGGATTGACACTCCCTGCTGAGGGGCGATCGCAATTGGAAAAATTACCTTAATTTTTATTTAAATTAATTTTCAGTAACTTTTTGGATGTTAGTAGGACACCAGGACTTGAACCCGAACCTTCTGAATGCTGACCGCTCAGCTACCGCGGCTGCTGTGGTTAATTGACAAAATATTTCGAAAAATTAGCACAAGAATTTGAAATTTAATTTTAAAAAATCTTCGACGTAATAAATTAATTAATCCATCTCTATAATTATTTAGCATTATTTTTGTAGAAGAAATTTCAAATATAATGCGACTTGTATTGTAATTATTTTGCAATAATTTTTGAGCATTTAAGGTGTAATGCACCCCTTCAGCACACTGTAAACTTCATATTGCAACCAATAACAAAAAGCCCACTAATACCAACTAAACTGTTTTAGTTTCCTAAAGGCAACAGACCAGAAGTAGGCGCATCTGCAATTGCTGTGGCATCAACTTTTCAATTTGCTTGTACATGCCACTTCCACAGCTGAAGTTAGCCATCCAGCCACCGACGTCCGACTACTCAGTTTTCGCTTGCTTCGTTTCATTTCGTTTTGCTGTCTGTAATCGTTGCAACGTCAATGCTGCAATTAGAGTTTGCCGTCGGCTACTGTTTGTTTGTTGCATGCAACCACATAAGGTAGCTTAGTTAACATTTTGTCTATTACTTTATGCTCCTGTCTGCATGTAGATGTGTTTGTACGCTATTCGCCTACGTGTCAGCTCATTGTCGACTTGCTGCCCAACAACTCTTTATTTTGTGGCTTAGCTACTGAGCAATTGCAAGATAAATTGTAATGAGCTGATATGAGTGTGGCATATATGTCGGTATGTGGAGAGCGACGGTTGGCAGCGAAGGAAATATTCATGTGAATGCTGCTGAATGTCTTGTGATCTTTTTTTTTTTTTTTTTTTTTATCCTTTTGTTATGCAATAAAAGTTCTGGGAACAAATTTTAGATGGAGAATATTCTTGGGAGGAATTTTGAGTACATAGAACAGTGTCATAAGGAATTCGCGGTATATATGGAGCAGTCAAACTTCAGCCAGTGCAGTTAGTTCCTTCAACCAGGTTTGGTGTATCTGAGGTTTTAATTTTGTATCTTCTATCTAAGACGTGGCTTTCATACCCTGCACCTTGAGTGTATAGAGAAAGGAGATTTTAATTCCAGAGTAAGTGCATTCCAATTGAGCTTTGAAACTACGGTTTGGAGGAAGGCTCTGCGATTTCCTTTCGGTATCGTGACTATTACTTAGGGGATACCTTAACCACTTAATGGCTAATCATGCGTCCACTTCATCATTGCTTTAACACGAAATGGTAGATAAACGTTATGCAACCTATCAGCGGTTTAAAGTCTTCTCAAATCACAAACCAAATCAATTGTCCGCCAATACCAAACCCTCATTCCTAATGAAGTGGGTAATGACATAGTGAGTATAGGTGGGCGAACAAGGAATGAAGAGGATCGATAAGGTAAATACATAGTCCATTTGCCAGCCAGTGATGGATGCGTGCGAATGGAAATTGCCAATGCAAAATGCAACAATTTGTTATTATTATTGATTTAACTTGAAGTCTTTTGCTGCCAGACGCACATATGTATGCAATGCATACCAATGGTGTTGTGTAGAAGCAAAGATGGAGAGAAGTTAATTCGACGACGGCACGATGAACTTGTTGAAGGACTCTCGTCTTTAAGTACTCAAACGCTCGATTTGATTTGATTAATTGAATACTTGCGCAGACTGGCGATCGATTTGTTTTGCATACATGTGTTGCACGTGGCATGAAGCCCTTTTAATAATAGTGCTGTGAGTATGTGAATTGTTTGTACTTCGCCTGATGCAGATTCTCAGTGAATTCCACACCAACAAATCATAGTTGCACATACAAACCGTTTATGCATTATATATCTATAAATATATGTATATACATATCATCAATCCACTAAACCATTAATTTAATTATTAATTGCGCGGAATGTATATTTTAAGGGGTGGAGGGGTCACTGGTTAATTGTAACAAGTCATGTGATTAGTTGGCCCTTGTGAGACTTGATAATTCATTGTGTACCCTTTTGAATTCAACTTTCAATCCACAGCTGCTCATGCTGCTCATTGGTTATGCCATTTGCCGTCAATATGCCCATCAATCAATCCCTTGTTGCATATTTGCCTCGCTAAAGTACTTTTGAAGCTATTTCTCAACTCTTCAGCCTTTGCCCTAGAGATCAACAACTTAATACACAAGGCTTAGATGCTCCTAAGCATGCCACACAGCAAACTAAAATCAGTCACTAAAATATCTGTGTGCTGCATGCAACATTGTCGGCTGCATTTACTGAAGCTTAGCTGACCGTCTGTCTGATCACCCGACTATGCGATTGACTGACTGACCGGCTGAATGGCTGCCTGAAGTCTGACTGATTTTCACATATTTATGTGCTTTTACTTAAGTATACAAAATATGGCACATTTTATGGAATTACGTTGGTGTTTGTGGCAATCAGGTGAATATTGTTTGCGTGCCACATAAATTAGTGCAACATCATTGAGTGTGGCAGTAAAATTACGTGCGCTATAATTGCCATTTCATAAATACTTTTAACGTGGTGCAGTCAGTGTTGCCACTTGGCTTTACAAAAAAAGGTAATCTTTAGAGTGAAAATTTATTTACTGATGTAGTAATTTGACTATTTCCCTGCAAAACCCACTTAGTAATTTTCTTCCTCAAACCGAAACTGTATCACTTACAGCGACTTCTAGTGGGGTTTATGATCTTACTTTTTTATATAAGTAGAACGTTTTTTCGTTAACAGCCAAATAAAGGCGCTGCCTATTTTTGGGCATGGTCTTCGGCAGTATTCAAAATAATAATTATCTACTCAATAACACTCGCATATTATGTATTGATCATCGAAAACTTTTACTTCAATGCTGCAATTCTTAACTTGCTCTTATGACTATTCGTATAAGGAGCTTTAAGGAAGTTGAAATACCTTAGCAATTAAATTATCCTTTGCACGTAAGCGTTGTGTTTCCATATCGTCCTCGAAAGTGGAAAACTTTGCGGGTGCCTATGAACAGCAACGAGAGTTCCTTTGCCATTTTTCAGTAAATTATTTTATATCAGCTTTAGCAAAAGTATACAGAGATTTGTAAGAAGGAATCAAAGGTATACTAAAATACTGGTTGCTGTCTTATGTCTAATACAAAATATTCCACAAAAATTTAACCAAGAGACCCCTCTAGGAGTATGAAAAATTTTCTCAAGAGCGGAAAAAACCATTTCCTGATTTAGTTAAAACAAATTTGGCTCAGCTACCCCCAAATGAGCACACAAGAAGCCTCTGTATGTATTGTAAGTATGGCAAATTTAGCATTAGAAAAGTATTATCAGTCATATGCAAATTGTGTTCGTTAACTCAAGATTTCTCAATTAATTTACGGCCAAACTAACCGACACTTTTCTTTCTTCTGCTCCTTCTTATACACAATTGCAGGCAGCTCCACTGAGTTGGCACCATCGCTGCTGGGCATCTACGACACCTTGACGAGTGTGTTGGATGGTAGCAACAAAACTACTAACAACAACAACAGCAATAACAATAACAGCAACAACAGCAGCTTCCTTGAGAATGTAAAAATAAACGAATACTGCAGCAGCAAAAGCGATAGCAACGAGATCGCCATTGGCGTAGATGTGCATTCTAACGGTAATACAAGCGTTGACAGTAATCACAGCGACTCGCCAACGCTCAGCAATAAGAGCAGTCGGAGCTCAAGTTTCGAGTCGGAGGAAAAGTCAGCCGGCGAATACAGTTACTCTATAGACAACTGCAACAACAATAGCAGCAATTGTGACAGCAATCGGAGTAAGAGTAATTGTAGCGCTTTAAGCGAACAGCAGCAGCAACAATACCAGAAACAACAACCTTCACCTTCACTGGTACCACAAAACAGACATTCGATAGAGTCGCCACCCGAGGCGGCAAGTTCGTTGAGTAGTTCTTCAGACAGTGGCTTTGTCGGCGGACACAATCCGACACTCACATTATTTAACCTCGCTTACAGCAACAGCCATAACCAGAGCCACAGTCACTCAGCAATAAAGCACAGTTACAGCCAAAGTAGTCGCAGTCTCAATTCCCTCTCGTCCTCTTCCTCGTGCAGTCAACGCAGCAATAGCAGTGGCAGTGGTGGGCACAACAGTCCACTGAGCTCACGTTTGTCACGTGACACACCATCCGTACACAGCTCAGGCAGCAATAGAAGTCTCAGCAACAGTCCCAGCAAACTTCGTAACCAAATACGCATACTCTCGCCCAATGTTCAACGCATAATCACCCATTCGAACGCAGAACATGTGGAGACGGTGGATATAGACGCTTTGCAACAGCAACAGACCACGCACCTGACGAGTCCACTCCAATCGCCGGCGCTTCACCATCGCTACATTAAGAAAGCGCCACCACCTGGCGCGACCTCTACGCCAAATGGCATACATAAAGTCAAACTATCGCACATACCGCTCTCCAAAATCACCGGCAAACTAACACAATCGGGCAACGAGCTTGTTGAGACCTTTGACTCTAGTTCAGAGTACTTGGATGCGCTTAGTTTTCATTCATATACCGAAGCAAAGCCAGCACGAAGCCTTAAGAAACCACCCACTCCAGCTGTGGTAAATATACTAGGCGTGGATGAGAGTGTTGTTGACGGTGAGGTAACACCGACTAATAAGTGTACCACTACCACTAAGCCAAGTGATCCGCCAAGCGCTTTTAACTTTGGCTCGACGTACAAGTTATCACTACCGAATAATGAACGTCAAGAGAGTATTAAATTGATTGAGATGGAACAACTGGCTGCCACTACCCAGATGATAAACGCGGCCGCATCTTCTGTGCCAACGCCGGAGATTACGCCGCTTGCGGTAGAACAAAAACATCAAAAACAAAACAATAACAACTCCAGCGCTAATAATAACGACTCTCCAACACTGAATACACCGCCACCTATACCATCTAAAGAGTTTATCGCTACGGCTCCTCTATCACCCTGCGACATAGTCGAGGCTCTCAACTACCCACTGATCACAAAGGAGCTGCAGACGCTCACGCTCAACGATAAGCAGGATGCCATGAACTGTTCCATGACGAGCGTTGAACTCATTGAGGCTATTAATAAGCCAGTGATCTCTAAACCTTTAGTTCGCAGCTCTTCGGCCGCCTGCGCATCTACTGTGTCCGGTTCCCCTATGCTCACTTATGCACGATCCAAAAGTTTGGCAGCGAAGGCCAATACGCTGGGCGGTGCAGTGCCAATTAAATTACCAACAGCCCAACAGCTAGAGGAACTGGAGGAAGCGAGCAAAATGTCCGCAGAGAGTTTGGATCGTCTGACTGATATCAAATCAAAGTTTTCACCAAAAGAGTCACGTAAGGGGGGTCCAATGTTACCAGAGATTGCTAAACTTAAACATCGTCCACTTTCTTCGTCGTCAATTTGTTCAACATCGTCCAGCTCCAGCTCTGGTTCAGATCATCTCAACGGCAAATTGGCCACGTCTTATTTGGCAAGTGTGGAGAGTTTGGCTGATCAAAGCGAGAATGAGCTGATGGATCCACACAGCGGAATGAGTGTTTTGGAGCGTGCCATGTTGGAGATCGTGGACTCGGAGCGGAGTTTTGTGGAGGACTTAGGACAAGTCATAAGAGGGTAAGTATCTGAATTCAGTTTCCGAAGCATTCCAGGAGCTAGAGTATTTCTCAGACATGTGGGAAATCTGTTAAATTCTTCGGAGAGCGTGCTAATCCATCTCAACTAACTTTTTAAATACTTTTCATTAATTTTTATTTTCCCTTTTCAATAGTTATCTATCGGATTGGAAAGAACGCGCCTGCCTACGTTACGACGAACTGAAAATACTCTTCTCGAATATTGAAGAGATTTATGAGTTCAACTCGACGCTTCTGAAACAGTTAATCAACTCTGGTATGGATCCGGGGAAAATAGCCAAATGTTTTATAGATTTGCGCGAAGGATTTGATGTATACACAACATATTGGTGAGTTCAAAGGTCAGGCCTAGATGTACGCCACGATTTGTGATATTTTCCATGGTTTTTCGAGTTAAGAACTATGAAATTGTAGAATTTGCGTTGGGCCAACAACGATTCAAAAGTTCGTTCGCTTTTTTATTGACATTTCGAAAAATGATAACTTTGTGTACATTTGGCTGATTTAAGTCAAATATGAGCCGTTTTGGTCGTAAACCTGTTGCCAACGATGGCAAATGGATTACACCTCTCTCGTAGAAGGCTGCTCTCTTGAGAGCCTCTCAAGGCCTCTCTTGAGGCCAACTGCTCACCATTAAGCGCGTTCGCCATGGACAGGAAAAGATGGTAATCACTTGGTGAAAGGTCCGGACTATAAGGTGGGTGCATTAGGGCCTTCCATCCGAGCTCCTGGAGCTTCTGGCGCATAACCAAAGGCGTGTGGGGCCTGGCGTTGTCCTGAAGGAACATAATTCGGCCTCTGTTGATCAAAGATGGCTTCTTCTGGATGACTGCTGCCTTCAAGTGGTCCAGTAGAGGACCGAATTGAGCGTTTGGCCATAGGGGAGCAGCCGCGTTGCCTGCTTTCTCGCCTTAACCGAAGTAAAATTGTAAAATATAGGAAAATTTCCCTTTATCTGTTGTCCATCACTGAGTCAATCAATCGAAAATTTTTTAGCGCGAATAAACACGTTTTCAGCGCCGTATAATATCGCACGATGCGACACGTAACACTAGTACTATGGACAATAACGTCATCTCTTAGATAGAAGCCGAACGAACAACTTGACATAATATTTATATAGCAAATATGGATAGTTTTTACCGTTTTGAAAAATATTAGACCAATGCCAAGCGCATTAAAAGCTTTATGGAGTCGATTATTTTGGCTGATTTTTTATTTTTATTGGCCAGCCAAAACGAATAAGGGAAGGCTTCGAAAATTATGCCTAAATGTAGGCCAAAAAAATGAACATCTAACGCCGTCGAGTCGAACGTATCAAACGTTGCCTACATTTGCGCGCAAGTTGACCGATATTGTGAAATATGTGAATTCTGCAAAAGTCAATCTGTATTTATTTATTTATTATTTTTTCGCTGCTTAATCTGATTCCATTCTACCCGCTCGCCAATTTCGTGTGGCTGCTTTTATTATTTCAAATTGGAGAGTTTTCCTTTTCACTAGAACGAGAGCATCAGAGCTTTGAAGCATAAAGCAATAACAACGATAGAGCTTGCAAAGCAATGCTTCCTCGTGGCTAATCAGTTAACAGGGCATGAAAAAGGTAGAAGCATGTTAGAGTAAAAGAAAACATAATAAAAAAATATAAAATGTTAAAAAAATTATAAGCAAACGATGATCTTGATTTCATTTCGAGAACGAGCTCAAAAAGAATTAGAGTAAAATAATAAATCGCTTTTCTGTGGCTCCAACGGACACATGCACGAAGGCGATAGCAGTTGGCGCAGCGATTGAGGAGCCTGGTTATTGGAGCTTAGCGCGAATTGGGCAGACAGCACAGCAACAACGCGCGATAGCACAGCACAGATAGACACGCAGCCAGTTTAGACAGACAGAAGACAGTCCAGTTACTGTATTTGGCAAGCGGCTGGCGAATCACGCGGCGCAGTCGGTGAGTTAGCAAAATAATCTAAGCTGAAAGTCAGTTAACTATGCAGACAGTCTTGCAGCCAAAGAGTCTTGCAGACGGTTGGACAGCCGTTGAGCCGTTGAGTGCTGCTACAATAGATGCCTCCACTAAGCAACTCCATAAGCGAGCTGGTGGATGACTGTTTAGATTGGGGTTGGTGGCTGCTTAGAAGTTCTTCGCTGTCAAACACGCCAAGTAGTACTTACTGTTATTGTTGCTTGCAAATATTCATATAAAGAACGAACAACTATTCGCGCTCTGAGCCCAGATAGATGCAAAGATATGTGCATTGCATGAAGTGATGACATTACCAATAAGCCATTTGGACAGTTCTGGGCTAACTGTGCAACGGTGTTGAGCTTTCGTGGGAGTGTTGTGCTATCAGTTCGCCGATGTTGTTGTTTTCTGTCACTGTCAGTTATACGAGTCCATGGCTGACAGGCGAACAACACACGTTTCGAGCAGATACTTTTTAGCTGTTGGTTGCAGCAACTTTGATGGAATGCAGTTGAAGCAGGCAAAAATAACAAGGAAAATTAAGAGAGAAAAAAATTAATAGTAAAAATTTGACGATTTCATGATTTCGATTTGCATGCTTTGCTGCCAGCAAATGTCGCGTCGCACCGCCGCCCTCATGCCTCACCTCACCTTCCCGGCCTCACCTTGGCCGCCTTGACTGACATTGTGTCACTTTGGTATTTGACTCCTACCGTCAAAGCAATTTATTTATGTGCTTCACTTGTATATAATTTTCTATTTGACTGTTGTTGTGCCTTGCTTGGCACGATGGTATTGGCAGTTGGCATTTGAAACTTCAGTTTTTGCTGACCCTGTCAACGGTTGAAATTTTTATATGACATTTGTGATTTTCATTGAGTGATAAGAGATCATTTTTCATGTTCAAAGGAGAAGTAGTTGATGAATACATAAAAGCAATGCTGCAACAAGGTGATGAAAACTTAAGAGTCTTCGTAGAATTCGTTTGTATATGCATATCTGAGCTTCGAATTCATTAAACCAGGTTTACAGTAATTTTTGCTCAAGTACCTTGATGGAGAAAATGTTAATTGTCCATCAGGTAGGTAATTGTGTTTTCGAGGTATAATTTTGGGCGTATTTATCAACAGAGAATTGAGAAAAAATATATCACAAGGGTTAGCATTATAACATTTTCTTATTGAAATTATTTTTCTTCATTTAATAAGCATTAACATTTATTTTTAAAAATAATATCCATTATTTTATAATTTCAATTCATTCTTCCTCTTCCGCAGTACAAGTTATCCTGAAGCCATATCACTGCTGACCAAACTGTTACAGGCCACACACACCAACGCACTGCTAACGTCCACACAAAAAATGTTGCAACATAAATTGCCACTCGGCTCCTATTTGCTGAAGCCAGTGCAACGTATACTCAAATATCATTTGCTATTGGACGTGAGTATATCGAAAACACAGAAATTAGAATACCATTTTCATATATTTCCTGCTTCTTTCGTTTAAGAACCTTCGTAAGCATTGCGATGTGAAGGAAGTATTGCAAGCCTACGAAATCATGCGACAAGTAGCGCGTAATATCGATCAGGTGAAGCGTAAGTTGGAGCAGCAAATAAGAGTTAAAGAACTGTCGGGCATATTGGATGGTTGGCTGGGACCAGGTGAGTGCAAGAAAGTGAAATTAAATGAACTATTAAACTGGAAAAAAATAAATGAATTTAATTTTCAATCTGCTATATATATTTTTTTTCATTATTTACGCCGTTTTATTTTTAAAGTTATGAGATATTTAATTTTGCTGTGGGACTTTGATCATTTTAAGCGAGCGCCTAATTGTAGGCGTCGAAAGCACAATTACTTTCATTACTAGCGTATCTAGCGCTCTTAAGTTTTGCAAGAGCGTTGTCTGCATTTAGGAATATTTAATGTTTGTTACTGACAAGCAAACGACAAACTAATAATTTGAAAAAAGATAATTATTAAATAAACATTTTAAATGATGCCGTTTTTGAACTTTCGAGCTTAAATTTATTCCTAACTTTAACTGCTGTAAGCATGAGTTTATTATGCCGTTCTGAGGCTGATTGGACGAAATCGTCGTCCCGATGTTTTGTGAAAACATCTAGATTATTAAGTCCGCACCCGCTTACAAAGGGCCAGTTTTTTTTGTTTTTTGTTTTTTGTTTTTCTTTTTGAAGAAAAAAAGAATTTTAAATTTACTTCAAAATTTAAATTAGTCTTCATTGAAAGTGAAATATATTAAAATTCCATAAATTAAACTTTGACTAAACCATTTTCACTCTTTTCAAAATTGTTTCCCCCAAGAACTCACTGTTTTAGGCGAGCTACGTCAGGAAGGACTGCTTATGGAGCACAATAAGCCACGCATGGTCTTCTTGTTCGACACAATGTTGATTATTACCAAGTCCAAAGAGGATAATCGTCTGCAATTCAAGAGTTATATACACGTGAGTAAAAATTTGGAGCAAGAAAAGTCGATACGAAGTTTTTACTTTTACCATTTACACATTTTTTTGTTGCAATAACTTTCATCCCTTCTTATATATATTTTTTTTTTCTCCTGCCTACAGCAAAATAATCTAATGCTAAGCGAACATTTACCTGGCGAGCCGACGAGCTTTTATGTAATTCCCTACCATGAGCCGCGTAATCAAATCAAATTGACAGCCAAAAATCGTGACCAGAAACGTCTTTGGGCGCAACACATTAAAGGAGTCATACTCGAGAAATTCGACAACATACCAAATCGCGCCAAGGAGTTGGTCTACAAGTTGGGCGATGAGGAAGGTATGAAAACACACACACTCACACTCACACTCACACTTATGTGCGCTTGTCACACATGCATTACGTCTGAGCAAGAGTTGTTCAGTTGGGCGGTAGAAAGACAAACTTACACAAGTGCGGCCTGCCACTGTTGCTGGCAGTCCAAACTACCGAAATTATTTGTTTTTGGCGCCAACAAAAACGGCTGCTTGGTAGTTTGTCATGTTAACTTGTCATGTTGTGTTTTTTAATATATTTTAACAAGTTTTATGTATTTGCGCATATTCAAAGATGCATTTAGATACTCACACACATACACATATACGTACATATACAATACAGATGAGACATACAAATATGCATATTCCATTTTGTTTACATAATTAGATGGCTTATGAAATGCAAGTTGCTTCATACTCATACTCAGTTTTTCCTACTCTCATGCAACATGTAGACACTACTTCTTAGTTAGTAATATTTTTGACGACACTTTTTTTTTAATTTTTTCCTCCCAATTTTTTATTTCATTTTTATATTTATTTATTCGTTTTGTTGGATTTACATTTAAATTGAAAGTTTTCCCTTTCATTGTAACTTGTCGCGGCGTCAGTGTGGCGCTTCTGTGCCACACAGTCATCGACGACATAAAAGGTGACAGTTACTTCGGCAAAAGCTAAATCCCGAGGAAACATGCATACATACATACATACATGCATACATATGTATTGAGAAAGCAATTTATTTATTTAAAGCATGTTTGTATGCGATTGTTTTAGGCAAAATTAAATGGGTAGCTCTTGTGGGCAATCGCTATGAATACACATGTGGTTATACAATACGTATGTTGAGGAATGCAATATGTGCATACTCGTATGTGTAAGTGTATGTGTTTGTAGGGAAATTCACACATAATTGGCACATTTTGACATGCAACATAACTGATTTATAGGTTTTCAGCTTAAAAACGTGTGCCGTTAAGCCCTATTCCTTTGTCTCCCGTTAGGTCTAGGTACATAAATATGTATGTACATACGTATGTGTTTAGACAGCAAGTACGGCAGTAAGGAAAATCAATGTGCAAATTCAATACACGATTGACACACAACACAAGAAGAGAAGCAGTTAATTATTTTTTGGAAAATACAGTGTCTCTTGGACTTCCTGGAATTTTGTAAACAGAATTTTTTCATCATGAGCATTTTAATCAATAAGAATAATTTCAGTGAGATATTTACATATTTTGCATATAATCTTTATGCACGTAATTTTGATGATTTTCATACGAAACAAAAGATAATAATAAAAAAAATTTAATTTGATGCGCCGACTTAGTGTCTTGACTCTTCAGATTGGTCTTTGGGGTCCATTTTTGAAAAGCTTTATAGGAATTTACAGATTTTTTATCTAAGTTTATTTTCAAACCCACGAGGGGAGGGGGTCTTAGGTCATTTTTCAAACAGGAAATATTTTTTGTTTTAGTATCAGTAGTTTTTCAGCCTCAAGATGTCTTGCAGAACTTATGTTGTTTTTGTAACAAAATAATAAACATATTTTATTTTAAAATCAGCCATAACATCATTTATTCGTTTCGCCAGCTTAAATCACATTTCGCTCCATTTCACATGCCATCATCCTTGTGCCGTATTTCTAATAAAAATAATTGAATCATGAAATGTTGTAAATATTATTATGCTACTAACATTTACCCATTTTTTAAGCTTTTATCCAAACAATTTTTTCTGTTTCTCCCCCCTTCTACAGTGGCTTAACCTGGCGCTTACATAATATAGGCGACAAGCTTCTTCCAAAATAATAAAACAATAAAAAAGTGCTGTGCGATTACATGCAATTAAAGAAAATTAATAAAAAACAAAAACTAATAATAAAATTTAATATTTTTAACAAACAAAAATTCAACGAACAAATACTTAAAAATACCGCTAAGCTTCTGCTGGCTAAGCCTTAATTTACATTTTTACTTTAAAGTAGTTTAAATTTTTGTGTTTTTAGCAAAGATTTTGTTGATTAGCAGTAAATTCACTCGACAGTAACTAACACTTAGGCATATAAGGAATTAGTTAATCACTTGGGTTTAACGGTAAATGAGCCAAGTGCTGAAAATCGGCCGTCAGTGGGTTAAACATACAAGTAGTAAGTACATAGAAATTCTGTTAAAATTAGCTTGCTGTTATTGTTGTTATTGTTGTTGTTTATTGATGTTGCTTGATCACATTAACTGTTGCGTATGAGATGTAGTCATAATTAACCGTTAACCGAGCACGCTTAGCACAACTAACAATTCATTCGAAATCGATCACGAAACTAATCATCACGTAGTTGTGGCAAAGACTACGGTTAATCTTTAATTCGTAGTTTCTTCAAGTAATCTTAGTATAGTTTATTGGCCAGAATGAAGTACAAACACTTTTTTTTTTTTTTTGTTTTTTTAATAAAAATACGCTTTTGTGGTCGAAAATTTCGAAGTTATCAGCAATTAAACTAATTTATTTATTTATTTTTTGGACAATCAAGCTTAAGCTTTCTGCAGCAAGCCCATTTTTGCCGTAAGAGATCGATTCCGATCTCAAAGTGTATCCAGCAAACCTAAAGGAATGTAAAGAAATATTTCGAGTTTTAAGCTTAGAATTTCGCAAAACTCAGAGTTATACGATGTGTGTTCAGAAAATTACGAGAATTTTTCACTTTCGCGGCCTTGAAGATGCCGATTGTCAGACATTTGTTTTATTATGTTAGTATACGTGTCACGGTTAACCTTTTATTGGAACTGATTTCTATGGGGTGGGTGCCAAACCCAGCTTACTACCTATCTACGTTTAAGACCGTTCACCGTTCAAGACCGACGCCTACTCGGAGCCGCACCTCTGATACTGACCATGCTATATAATACATCATCGAGCAGTTATTCTCCAGGCGCTTAATCTTACAAAAGACCAATGAGAATGCCAATCACACTGATCACTTTTTAGTCGAATTTCAATGACTGAATTTGTATCACTGCGAAAATACGGCTGGGTGAACGACGAGATTTCCATGTGGAAGAGGAAGACCTCCGTCGCGATGGAAAGATCAAATAAAGGAGAACCTGGCCGTACTTGGTATTCCCAACTGGCGTCAAAAGAAAGGAAATGCAAATTGTTGTAAAGTCGACTATAATTGCGTAAACGATGTCTTCGCCAATAAAGAACCCTGGACGCCAGGGCACCCAAAAACCAATGAGAACATGGAAAAAGTAAACGAAATTTCTATGAACAACTGGGGAATCACCATTATAGACACTAAGGTTCAATCATTGTAGTGAGATCGTCACTGTGAGAAAATGTTCTTTGCTTTGAATGGCGTGAATTATCCCCATGTCCTCAAATCAAGCGATCAAAATGGAATACTGCATACGAGATTAACGCCGGTAGCCTGCAGAAATCCGTAATAAATACCGAATTTGTGGGAAATCAGTTCATGGCACAGCTGCTCACACTTGTTGTTCCCCAGCCTCTTTATTTGCCAGACATGGCACCATGAGACCTTTTCCTGTTTCAAAAAATTAGGAAACCCCTAAATGGCATAGAAAGCACACTGCTGAAAGAGCAGAAGGATGTCCCACAGATTAAGTTTAATGAGTGGTTTGCGGTTTGGAAGAAGCGCTGGTGCAAATGACTAATCTCTAACGGTGACAACGTAAATAAGTAGTTTTTCAAAAAGTAGACATTCTCGTTTTTTTAAGAACACCCCTCGTAATGTTTTTTTTTTTCTTAACATTCAGTACTATTTCTTTTAGTTTTAGGCAACCCTGTTTTCATTTGTCTCAAGGTAAAAAAAAACTTCAGGGCTTTAAAGGGAACGTTGTAGAAACTCTTAAAGACTGAGGCTGCGTATTTTCTACATGATGATTTTATATAACGTTAAATGTCATGTGTTGTTGTTGGTGAACTCATGTAAAATATGTACATATGTAAACATTGCAAATACTTTTATTTTAAGTCCTTATAATTGAGTCTCCAGCGAAGGCAGCAAAAGAGATAAACATACACATGCACACACGCATATATCCATATGTACATAAAAGTACGGCGTTGCACACATTTTGCATTGTTCTCTTGCATTCTATTAAAGGAAAACGCAGAAGATTTGCCTAGAGTGCTTGTTGCGAGCTAACTCGGTCTGCTTTAAACAATAGTTAAATGCATCTTCTTCCAAAAATGTATGGCTTGAAATAAAATTAATTGTCATCTATTGCTTTTTTACAGACCGCACGCCGGATAAGAACACTTGGAAATGGAGTCTGCACTCAAGCTCCACAACGCCGGTCTACCTGGAGCGGCGCAATCAGTATCGGCGCAGCGAAATACGAAAATGTTCCAAGTTCAAGCGGAAGACTGTCTCGAACTCTACATCTTTCGACAGTTTCAATGAACTCGCCGAGAATCCAGCATCCCAGGCAGCAACAACAATAACGGGAACAAGTGAGGTCAGCAATGTGAGTGCGGGCAAACCTGTGGCGCGCACTAACAGTATCGACGACAATATGTTGCCGGCGCTGCACAAACTCGCTGCGGCCATCAAGAATAAAGGTAGAGCAGAGGAGGTAATTGGCACAGCAAATAGCTCAAAGAGCGTCGCTGCCGAAAGCGGTAAGGGGGTGAAAGCCGAAACACCAGCGAAAGAGCAGCTATTGCCCTGCATCCTGCGCGATCAACGGCGTAGCGCTTGTGCTTCACCCAAGTCCCCACTCTTCGGTTTGAAGGCGCTGAAGGAGCGTAGCAAGTCGGTGCCACGAATTAGTTTCCAATGTGAGGATTTGGATGAGGAGAACGAGTCATTGAACGGCAGCAACACCAATCTCGATGCGCGAAAATCCAAGTCTAGTAAATCCATTGAAGTCAAGCAATACAACCACAAGACTATACCCAAGCGCATAGCGACGCTGAAGAAACAGCGCACAGGCAAAACAAAGGAGACGTGTAAGTTCTACATGGACCTAAGTGAGTTTGACGATACGCCCAAAACTGAGCTGAAGATCACCGAATCCACGGAAAATCTCTTGGAAGAGAAGCCGTTGGAAACAAGCGCGGCCGAGAAGGATGTGAAAACGGTAACGCAAAATCTAGACAGCATACAAATGCAACTGGAGAAGCAATGCGAGGAGTTACTGACGACGCTCAAGAAGAAAGATGCCGATATCATATTGGATCTGCTGAAACAGAATAAGGAGTTTGAACGCATGGCTAAGAAGAAGCAGCAACGCAAACGTACCGCAGAGTCTGGTGGAAGCGGTAGCGGTAGTGGTAGTGGTAGTTGCAGCGCCAGCGCTCCAGGTAGTCCCGAGTCGCCGGACTATCCGCTAGTCAATGAATTGCCACCGCGCCCGCCATCGCGCTCGCCGCCACCACTCGAATCTGAGAGCGAGCATCCTTCCGCTAATGACACGCAGATTGCTAAGCCAGATGAAGATGATGAAGAGCCTATCTACGAGACGCTGTTGCGCAACGTACACGTTCCTTATAAATTTTCACCCGTGCTCGGGCGCTCCCATTCAACGCAGCAATACAAGCCGCGCGAGAAGAAGTCACCGCCAATGCCACGCCCTGAGTCGGACTATGTAACGCTCGTGTACTCACCTGAAGGCGCATTGCAACAAGTTGGCAGTGAAGTGCTTCCGGAGCGCGTTATCAGTGGCGAGGCACAGCTTCGGCGGGAAATTGCCGAAGCGATACCCGATGATCGTGACAGCTCTGGTTCATCCACTTCCTCGTCGACTTGCACTTTGAAACGCGATAGTCAGAATACAGTCATAAACATGGATTGCATTTCGGCGGGCAATATATCAATGATCTCCAATACAACCAACATTTCCCTTCCGGAAGCAGTTTACGCGCGTCCCATGCCGAAAAATTTGATGAAGCGCTTATTTAGCACTGGCGCGCATGCAGTGTCCGCCAACATGGGGAGCAAGTACACACATGAGAATATATCCTCTTCGCACAATTCCTTATTGCCGCGCGCACGAAAGTCCATCGACAATATTGCACTCAGTTTTGGCCGCTCCAACAAGCCACCTGAGCGTCGCGTTTCCGATGTGACTGAGATGTGCCGGCAAAGCATATTGCATCGACAGGGTAGCGAGGCTGTAGGTGAACGCATGGCGCACGTTGACTACGCCGATCCGCGTACACTCTTCGCCATGAGTTCTGCTATACCTACTGCCTCCGACGCATCGCTGCAACGCGATTCTGTATTCTCACTCACCTCCTCCAATGACAGCGTTTGCGATCAAAAGCGTCGTGCCAACTCAGCGCTAAGTAGCGATGCCAACAACTCTGATTTCGTATATGAAGACAATGTAGAGGCTTGTCTGGAGAATGATTTCCGGGACTCGGCGATTTACAGCGATGATAATGAGAAGCGTGTCGACTATGAGTCAGGTGATGGCATCAAGCGGCCGAGTAGTCCACCCCCACCGCCACCCGCGCGCAACCGCGCCAACCCCGAAGTGCCACCTAAACCCATGGGCATACCGCGCGTCAACATCAACAAAGTGTCTCCGCGTCACGAGGCGCCAAACGCATCATCATTAGATAATGCGGACGCTCAATCGCTGGGTGCCAAAGCAACAAGCGTCGTCATCTGTCCGCCAAATATGAGCGCTGCGGCGTCCCGTAGTTGGGTGCTGCAGCAGATCGACAACTTTAATAAATAGAGGGTGCCGCATTGCAATGGAGACTTTGCGAGTTGTCTGCCATAGAGGGAAAAAGTAAAATATTTAGCATTTTTTTCAAATACAAAAATTAATAAATTAATACGATATTACAATTTGGAAAGTAATCGCTAAAATAATGAAAGTTTCGTTAACTTTTGAACGCCAATATGTTTACGGTATAATATCTACTTAATTTACATACTACAATGCAAATATCTAAGTATACATATATATGCATGTGTTTCTTTTTCGTCTTAAAAATAATATTTTTACGAACATTATTTTTACACACACTCGCATTTGTACATTTCGTCTAGTGCTTAAGTCATTTTATTTTTTTAATTTCATTTTTAAAGGCGCTTGCCTCTTTTCTTTGCGGATGAAACGCATTGGCGTACCGTAGAATATATCGATATTTGTATATATTTTCTAATTTTAAATTTTACATTTATTTTATTTTATGCTATTTTTTCACTCTAGTTTTGCTTTTGAACTTACACATAAATCGTTAATAATGAAACGATAAATTAATCGTTATCGACTTTTCGCTCTATAGTCTGCCACATATTATAATCGTTCGAGCGAGAGAACGTTTTACGCGCACATGTTTACATTATAGAAGTTTACAAAAATATATACATATAGCATATTAGAACTCGATATATCGATTAATATTGAAGTTTATGCGTTTTTAAGAACTTTTGTAATTCGATGAAACTTAAATATCTATAAACGTATTTAGCAAATTGTTTAAATCTGTGTTTCATTTCAGAACTTTTACAGGTTTTGTGGGAGACAATAGCGTTTGCTTAGGACCAATGGGAAGAGTTTAACTAAGCAACGGTTTTAATTTCCTACTCTTAACAAAATTTATATTGAATTTTTTTAGGCAATTTATAAGATTAGTATAAATTTTGTGAGGTTAGGTTGCGGTTATTCCATTGTGACGTCATATTAAAGTAATTAATGCCCGTTGGCCAACTCTTTGGTTAATGAGACGCTTCATGCCAAATGATTTCAAAGGAAACCAAGTTTTCAAAGTGAGTTCCCATCGGAAAATGCCTATTCAGAGACGGTAAAGGTGCGGGCTCATCGATGATCAGTGAGAGTTGGAACAGATTAAGTTATTTTCCCTTTTGTATAAGCTCACAAGCAGTTCTCGTTGACTCGTTGTTGCGGAATGTGAAGAAGGATATAAATATAAGATTAGCATTGAACTGATTATTGTCTGGGGTTATATTTTTTCCAACAAATAGAGGGTCCAGACTTGATTCGATACTATGCGTTTCCATGTACTGCTAATCGCTCGGCTATTGCCGCTGGATGGATAATATTCCTCACAATGTAACGACTGAGTTCAGTTGGGGAAAACAAAGTGCGCAAGGGAGCGCCTCTTGATCTCTCATACGGCATCCCTTCGCGGGCAATTTTTTATAGTGATCTCAAACTTTGGAGTATGCTTCAAAATATAACCTTCTTCAACATTTTACACCTAACATCTCTTATCAAACCTCAATATTCAACATACTCGGAAATAAGTGTGTAAAGAAATTCTGTCTTTTCAGTCTAATAGAGTTTAAGCTTCAAAGCCTTAGTCTCGGTACAAAGTGTTCAGTATAAATATATGAATCTGATATGGAATCAACAATGCTATTGTTTCATAAGAAGTAAGAGGTCATAAAACGCCCTCACAGAACGATGAAGGAGCATTTCCCCAGAGAGGTAGCAAACTGTGAATCTTCAACTTAAGGCTGCCTTGGAAGCTGTACATAGTAATCTTTTAGGAATCAGTCTTTTCTTCCTAACTCAGCTGACTTTTTATCAAAGTAATAAACACAGTCACTCATAAACTGTGGTATAATTAGAGAGCCACTGTATAAGAAATCTATTTCCACATCCTCTTTCAGTAAAGACAAAAACCAACAGTGCAGATAGCGTACTGTGTCTCTGCTAAGCAAAAGTGCAGGGTGCCACATGTGAAGCTGATTAATTTATGATTTTCCACTTCCGCTAACATTTACTGCTCATTCCTGAACGCCTGATGGAATTCGAAGAACTGACGTTTGGGACTACCGCGGATGATGACTGTCGTCGCTGTCGTCGTCGTCCGTCAGTTATGTGAGCCTGTTATGGCGCCGCATTACATTAAGACCTCTGAAACAAATTGAACGGAGAGACATTTTTTATGAAGGCAGCGGAATATGAAGAGACCTGACACCTGAAAGTTTTGTGAATATTTTTGTGTGTCATGTTTTCCAAAAACTACAACAATACACTGCAAGATATTCTAATTAGTATTGGAGCATATCGTTTTACATTTTCAGACACGACAAAGTCGTTGGCTCAGATGGAATCTTTGAGATTCATTCAATCTACTATCCTCGAGCAAAGAACAGATAGAGGCTCTCTTTGTGTAAAGTGGCTTGGTTGCAAGCTTTTTCTAACCGCGAAATCGTCCATTGAATTGCCTAGCTTATATCTTTCTGAGGCACTTGAGGCACTGACGGGTCACCAATTGTAACCCTAAAGAGTTATCCAGACCGTGGAAAACAACAACAACAATTGTATTGCTGGGTATATAATCCACATTATTTCCCACAGTCTAACGATTTCTCTGAAGATTCACACCAGAAATTAATCAAACCACACGTTCAGATAAATTTCACAACTTTTATTTAAAATGAAAAATACATTATGTCATTTAATTTAGAGACACTTTTTTCCATTCGATTTTTGGATTTTTTTGTTTGCAGATCCCAAGGGTAATTTACCGGTCTGCAGCGACGATTTCCTGCTCAGCGATTAGTGGCGCCGCAGTTCAATGTATTCAGTTGGAGCTTGAACGGCGATGACGTCAAATCGATTTGAGACTTGTAATGATATTTTGAAATCCACTACATGTGCCATCCATATGCACAAACGCACACACAGACATACTGGCATCTATTGATGAAGCTGCAGTTGTTGGCGCCAGCTCAAGTTGATTGCCGCAGAAGTGTCTTCGAGGCACACGGCTCATTTAATTAAACAAATAAAAGCTGGAAACGAAAAAATAATAACAGTATGTATTTACGAAATTGTAAAAAATAAATAAATTATAAGAAGACATTCATTTAAAATGGTTAATAAATGCAAAGTCAATAAACGAAAAGAGTTAATAAACAAATTGGAAACTCATTGGATTGGAGATGCTAAAGACGTCACAGGCCGCGGATCGAAAAAATGTGGCCATTTGGTTGCTGTTTATTGGTTGCTGTTAACTTTGGCTTGTTGTTGTCGTTGCTCAGTGGTCATGTCATGGGTTGTTGTTGTTGTTGTTGTTGTTGTAGTTGTTATATTTGCATTAATTCCACTTCTCTCTCTGCATATTTATTTTGATTGATATGGTCTTGCATTTCGGTAATGAATGTTCGCTTACATTTAATAAAAATTTGCATATGCACACATACACGTACACACAGCCATACATACACATATAAATGTAAATACTTACATTTAAAACCTTTGTTTGCATCCATGTTGACCGTGGAGAGTGGTCACAGTTTGCACTTTGCAATTCGTTAAAGCCTGATAAATTGTTGTTATCAGCAAATCGCTGTCGATTTAATTAAAAGTAACGAGTTGATGTTGAAGACTAACAGTAAATATTTGATTTTTCGCAAATTAAAGCGAAAAGAGAAGAACACGCCAATTCCTTATTACAAAATTAGTCAACATTCACGTAAGTGCACTGTCTGAGGGACTAAAGGATGAAAATAGAAAAATTGTTCTGATGAACTCAACACCAATTTTTTTTATTGCAGCGAAATATCTACCTTTTTAAAAGTATCCATAAATATTAATAAAAAATTAAATTCCAATTTCTCACACCAGCAATTATTCAAAAATTTTTCCTGCAATTAAAAATGATATTTTTAAAAAATTTTGCGTTTGCTTAGCGACAAATGCGTTTCCCCGATAACTACATATGATTTTATTTTGTCATTATGTTTTTCAATTTGCAATTGGCAGTCAGTTGGGGTTTTGCGCCTGTCAGCCGACACTTTTGGTAGCGTCTTAAGTAACAATTGAAGCGCCACTGCCGCTGCCACTGGCTTATGCTCAGCTAACACGCTAATGAATTTATAAATAATTGAACACATAAATATACGCTTTGTTTGTATGTACGAGTATGTTTGTATGTTTGCGCCAAAACATATGTTGATTTGGCCAAAATTGCCATTACGAAATTTACGTAAAATAACCAAATAGAAATAATCGAATTTACAACTCATTTCGAGAAACGGGAACACACGATTTATTGTTGTTGGTTGTGTTTATTTATTCCACGGCTTATGCTGAATTTAAAAAACCTTTTTTGTTAAATGACAAAATAAATAAAATAATCCACAAAAATCAGTTCAATTTGGCACCCTAACGAGCGAGTATATTGTATGTATGTACGAGTATGTGTATGTATGTAAATATAATTTAATTATTAATAGCCAATTTAAGGTGTTGCATCAAAATGTTGCAAAAGTTGGTTAATAAATTTGCATTGAATTTTGAAAAAAGTCGATCAAAATTGCATAATTTTGCCTCGGTAAGTGCGGAGTGAAATGAAACTGTGTGTAGGAGATTGAAGAAATGTGTGTCCACCACAAAAAAAAAAAAAATTTATTTAACACCCAAAATAGGCAAAACTGTGAGCAAAGATTTTCTCCTTATTAGTGGAAGCCAGAGAGATATGGAGTCGACCATAAGCAGCAACTGTGTCCTACTTTCACTACAAATAGCAACATTAATTAATAAATGCAAATTTTTATGACTGCTTACATCGGATTCGATCGTGTAGAGGATAAACGCTGTGGCCCTCTGAGCTTAGCCCCAGTGTCTTTAGGGACCCAATTTAGTTGCATTCCCTCATCATGACTGTCACAGCTCATTACTATGTATTGGCTCTTACAGGCCTATTCTTTCTAGTTAACAAAATTCACTTTGGTATTATAATTTACCATTCGGGAAATTTTGTTACTATTTCGTATTCTGAGTTCCTTGTCACCCTGTGAGATTTGTTACCAGAGAAATGGAGGTAACAAACAATCAGCTGTTCGATTTTGTGTTGTTCATTTGTGAAAATATGCATAGGCATATTTTACGTCTAGAATTATGTAAAGACGAATAAAAAGGGCAAGAAGGCGCATGTTAAGAAGTTTGCGAGAAAAAACTGACCATTTTAATTCGGCGTTCAGTATTTGCGCCTGATCAAAATTTCTTTTAGACAGAAGACTTCGTTCTCGTTTTGCTTGAGGTTTTTCTCAAAAATTTCAGGATTTCGTTTGGCGCGATTGTCTAACAGCAATGAGTCAACCATCTGTTTCGCGATCACTGCACTTCATTTCAAGTGCGATTGCCAAACTAAAAGCCGGGAAAATTTGCTTCCCAACAACAAATGAAATGTAAATACATGTATATATGAATATTCTTGCTTTTACTTTACCAACTGACAAATGTAATTTGGTATGGACGAAAAAATCAGTACTGCCCAATTTTTTTCAAATATTTTAACCGTTCATCAGAATACCAAATTCAATTTCGGGTGTTAAAAAAGTGATAGAATTTATTTTACTGTTTAGTTCTGCACAAATGCTTATTGCATATATTTATGATGGAAAGTTACTCACCTATTTTCCCATTGGTATGGAGTATAGAGCTGTAATGCCACTCTACAGGTTTGTCGTCTCTGTGGTATTTCCAGGGAATATTCTCTCTACCG